TTTTTTTTTTTTTTCATTTATGTTTAAAATAGCTTTGTAATAAGAATAACATTAATACTCTGATGTGAATAGTGTCACAGCAAATGATATCGCGGTAGAGCAGGCACCACCATGTTCCTGCAAGTACCAGAGCCAATGTGGAGCCCTGCTATGCCCAAAACTGTGTGTATTCCAAACTGGAACTTTTCTGTGTGATATGCTTTTGATGAAATAAGTCAGTAACCTCTCTACTTGGTTTGCACAACTCGCTACCAGTAAGGAGAGAATGAAAACGGATGCATTAACTATGTTCAGTCTCGTGCTGCATAAATATGACGGTTTCAGAATTAGACTGCCACCTAAAAATGTGTTGGGTATAGGTCTGGTCTGATTAAATGACTTTATCCCAGACAGTGGCTGCTGGAGTTGACGGCTTTCCATAGGTGCAGGAGCGTTGCATGATTCCAAAAATCCAGGTCAGGTGAATGTCATCCCATTTCCAAGGTTACCTAAAGGAAAATAAAAGAATGTTATGGTCTGAGACAGCCCTGTATAACCTCAGCTCCAACTTTCATGACTCAAGTAGCACATAAGGCCAGTAACACAGAGGAGGGCAGTACCTTTTGTCTTTTCACTTAACATAAAAACTTTTTCTTGGAAGTCAAGTACAAATACCTTTTTTTTTTTTTTTTTTTTTTTTTCAGTTTTGTGAAGCTGTGAAGAGCTGTTATTATGGAAGTTAGCTGCTTTCCATACTCGTACAGCCCAGATCATTTTGTCTGTCCACTCTACTTTATGCTTGTTGGGAGGCATACTTTTGTGTTTGTACCCACCAATACACGTTTTGTTTCAATCATTCCACAGATATTTGTGCAATATGTACAGGGCTTGAAAAATTTGGCAGTGTCTCACCAGTCAGTCAAAAATTTCACCAGTCAGCATGACCGGACTATAGCCTTGCAATATATGTTAAAAATTTTTGGAGACAGATAGAGGTTTCTTTTGTGACCCCACAGGGGGTTATTTTTTTTTACTATATAATGAAAAAAGTACCATAAATATATATAAAAAAAGTTTCCCTATGTTATAAAACATTTATTCTTACCCATATTTTTGGTAAAACATAAAAGTCGGGGTCACGTCGGGTAAATAGACACCAAACATGTCAAGCCTTAAAACTGCGTGCGCAAAAAAACGCCCATACGCGACGATTAAAATGCTTTTACTGCTCATCAGTTTAGTGTTATCAGTGATTAATGGCTCTAGAATTATTGCTCTCAATCCCGATCGCTTGACTGTGTTAAGCTCCGGCCTGCCGTGTAATTACAACGGCCGGCCGGGAAGCTGCTCGTCGGGCTCCACTGTCTGCTCGTCACGGACGAGTGGATTTTTCGAGCCCTGAATATGTAAAATAATATGATGTGGTTTTGACCAAACGTCTCCTTTCAAATGAGCCCTAACTGAAGTTAAAGACTTTTATTTGCCAACAGCAGGAGTTCTTTTTCATGCTAAAATCTAATTCCCTTTAATGTTATTAGCATAAAAAAAAGTAGCTGATGAAAATGGGATAAAGCCTGATATGTAAACTGCCTTTTATTGTATTAGAGCTCCCATGGTCATACCTTTTAAAAATAGGCAACAAATGAGACTTTTAATTGGTGCATCTCTGGCTAGTCTAATTAACAGCAGGTTAATGGATTATATTTAAAGACCTTTGAAATGCATGCTTTGTTGGTTATTCCCAACCATGTATTTCTCTATGCGTTGTGATCACTATCCAACCTGGAACGAACACTATCTGATTTTAGTTTTTCTTCTTTTTTGTAGTCCTAGCTGCAAAGAAATGCTCATATTCTTTAAGGCAATTTGCTACGCTGATTTTTCAGTTGATCCAATATCTGGATTAATTATGTTCGCTCGCCGCTTGTTAACAATTATGAGCAGCTTAATATGTTTAAAGGTATGCTCTAGTCAAAATGTAAAATTTTAAGCCTTGAAGACCATGTAGGGAACGGAGCCTACATGCTTTAGGGTGCCCGTACACGATGCAAATTTTGGCTGATTTTTGAGGAACCAGCCGACATTCGCAGAGTGTGTGCTGCTGTCTGCACACTTTTGATCGGCATCCCTTGATCAGCTGAACGAAGGAGCCAGCTGGAAAATTTTTGTACGATCAGAGTCGGCAGCCAATGAGCTGCCGGCTCTGTTCGGGTATTCTGCGGCCCCTGTCGGAATGCTATGCAAACAGCGAGATTCCTTAACCCCTTCGTGACTGACGACGTACAGTGTACGTCGCCAGCATCGGGGCTGTTTAAACAGACTCCCGGCGACTTTTGCCGCCGGGACTCTGTTTAAACTTGTAGAGCCGACTGTCGGCTTTACAACAGAAGCGATCCTGGCGACTTACCTGTCGCCAGATCGCTTCTGCGTCCCGAAGAATGGGCCGCCCCCCCCCCGCCGGACACCCCCGCCGTGCTTCCCGGGCT